AAAATTAATGAATCAGTCAATTTATTATTGATCAAATAGTTTTATTTTCTGCGAGACCGACACATTATTAAAAATATTATTATTATGTCTTGGATATGGATTTTAAAATCATCAACTGACGTTCAGTTACGTTAGTTTTCTCATACAGTGACAACGTTCCTATTGTATACAATAAAATTTTATGGTGGTTTAAGCCAGTTAACTTCACAGCGGTTCATACCCACCATAAATTGTAATTTGAAAACCGGACAAGTGGAAGACCAGTAACCCGAACGGTTCTTAGCTACCCTTCTTCTGGTTGAACAATAGCGGCGCATGCCAAGGCGGTGGAACACTCAGTGAGTGAACAGCTTAGCCAATCCCTTGTAATGACATTGTAAAATTTTATTGTATACAACAGAAACCTTTCTACTATAATTTTCGTCGCGATGCGGAACATCGGTTGCGAGTCACTGGTCTGCCGTGGCCCATACGCAGAGCATAAATTTCAACCGCCTAGCCCTTTTTTTTTTTTTAGTATTACACTACATCTATATCCAAACTGATATACGTCACCTTGCAAACATGTTGATGAGAAAAAAAAACATAATAGGCATGCCGTCGTCACGTTTCCGACAGCGAGGGAAGTACTGTCTAAACTCTTTAGACTAATTTTTTGTCCTTGGCATAGGTAACTTTGAACATAGAAACGTTCGGATATAAAAGCAGCCTCTCTATTGGTCAACTTAATCGCCTTCCAGTTCTCACACGGTTAAAGCCTGGAGGACAACTCTTTTTGCGAATTACGGCAATGTTCGGGACAGAGGGAACATGTCATTCACGGGAATGGAGCGAATTCTGGGACACCTGTATAATAATGATAAAATAAGAATTATAATATTCATAACATTTTGTTCGATTGCGGTTTAATTAGTAATTTTAGTGCTCTGATTTGAGAAGACAAACTCATTCAAATCAAATTAATTTCTATGTTGACACTCTTTCAATGTACATACAGGGTGTCTCAGAAATAAGTACATTAATTTTAATCAGTTATAGAGCTCATTGAAATCAACAACTTTTTTTAGTAGAGTTTTGTCAAGAACTTTTTAATTATCAAGTTAAAAATTGTTAAAGTTATATCCCAATTAAGGTTACCCGCCCATGGATCCTCAGTCACCTATGGACACTAATAATTTTTAGAATTAATAATTTATGGTCAAAAACAGTTACTAGGATACGTATTTTCCTAATCTTGTCAATGTGACAAACATTTAGAGAGAAATTGAAAATCCTGCTCCCTAATGGCGTAAGGAATTTCATCGGCCCAAATGTGGGTTTTGAACACCTTCCCTCGTGTAACCGACCTCATCAGTTGATGGTATAAGAAATACAAAATTTGCTTGTTCGTTTATTTTCCTATTAACCCACTCACAAAAGTTTTGCCTACGTGGTAAGTCTGTTAGTTTCAATAACTGAACTTTCTGGTCCTGAAAGGGGTACATTTGTTCTTTGAGTATCCTTCAAGTACCACTCTCCGATACATCACACTAGACAGTGATACGTGCTAGTATCCGGTCGAGTTTCGATACTCTTCAAAACAACCTCTTCAATATTAGCCACTCTATTACTACGTAACTTACCCCTATCCTGAGGTGCAGGTTTAAAAGATCTGTACTCTCGAAAATGCCACAACGTTCTTAACACTGCGCACATTTGGCAGACGACGATTTGGGAGGTTTTCTGAAAAAATTCGTTGGGCGCGAGTGCCGTTTCCCCGAGCTTCACCGTACGTTAAAACGATATCGGTGCATTCCAGATTTGAAAACAAAGCCATTTCAACACATTTCGTGTATAAATTAGAAATCTGTGCCAAACAAACTTTAAAGAGACAACGTTTAATAAAAACATTGACATAAAAATGATTGCCAGTGTCAAAACAGTTGCTAGGGTACCTTCTTCATTGTTGTAGTGTTGTTATTATTTAAGTTATTATTTAAGGTGAACATAGACGGCTCGTGAATATATGGGTGGGAAAATTCGAAATTTGACTTGAGTTTTCGAAAAAATGCTAGATAAAAAAGTTGTTCCGTTTCACGAGTTCTGGTACTGGTTAAAATTAATGTACTTATTTCTGAGACACCCTGTATAAACATAAATAAACGCTTGAGTTTCAAATTGCCATTACCACGGTTGTAGAATAGATAGGTTGATACACTAGCATATATCCGTTTATCCCTGTGGTCAGCGACGCTAATCGCCGACCGCGTCGCCTGGTTTTAAGGGACCAAGTGACTATAATGTGATCCAATCTTAAAATGTATGGCAAATAGTAACTTTTATGAAATAGAAATATATTTCTGTCCTTCTTACGCTCCGTGTTTTTGACAGCAGATATTTTTTGCTTCCAGTATGGCGATCCTGTTACTGTCATTTGGCTGTCAATTTTCTTGCTGGTAACACGTCCTCCACGACTGTCTGCCGGTTTCCGGTGACACTAATTACTAGTTGTATAGAGCTGGAGTTAGTTTTGTGACTGGAATCAGAGCTGGCATTGTGTTCTTTCCGGCCCGTTGACTCGATAGTTCTGGTACAATCTATCGTAACCTCAAATCGTAAAGTGCAAACTTTCTTTGAGAGTTCCTACATTTGGTAATGAAAATGACTAGTCTCGCGCTATCTTTGTCTAGCACATAGCTTAGGTTCCTCTCTATCGACCTCCGGGCACAGGCAATTTACAGTACTTTCTAAAAGTAATAATAGATCTAGTGACTTTAAGCAACTACAGATCCTATGGACATATGTTGATAATCGATATTAATTAATAAAAAAAAAATCGTACTTAATGACTCCTATCAAATGTCATCTAAAGATTTTGTATTGTTAATTGCCATTTATTAAGGATTCCAGATCGCTAGAAATGACCAACAGTATTTTTTATGTCATTCAGATATATTGTAATCACTAAAACTTAAAGGTTGGCGGCCTTTTAAGAGGTGGTGCCAAATTTTTAAAATGCCAAAAATATTTGTTACATTATTTAGGGTTTAAGAAATATGAAACGATCCACCTTGCAAAGTACCATTGTCAGTACAATCCTACAGGATTGGTGCATTTCAAAGCCTTTTGTAACAAGCACATATCATCACAAGATTGTTCGTCATTTATACAAAACTCACTGGACATACACCTTGTAAAATTTTTATGACTTACGTGGTTTAAGCCAAAGCATTCTTATAAATGAAAATGGCAATTGTATAACTTAACTCAGTTCACATATACCTAATAAAACTTTACAGCTCCATTATGGCAACAATGAACAGTAATAATCCTTGCGGTTTGGGTCCATAAAGCTTACAATAGCCAGTTTGACTTATGGGTGGTTTGGCTTAAAAGTCGTAAAAGTTTTACACGGTGTATGTCAAGTGAGTTTTGTATATGAGTAAATGAAAGCCATACTACCGTGAACTTTAAGAATTTGGAGAAAAAATGTTTTGCACCGTGAAAAACTAATTCATTTTTAAATTTTAAATTTATTTAGACTGACATTACTGACATTTTATGAAAAATTAATCATTGAGTTTGACACTTCTAAGCCGATTTTAAATTGGAAAAATGGTGTCGACAATTAAAGTCAAATGCAAAATGAAAGGGATCAGGGGCGGGACTTATGATACGTGGCTTTTAAACCACAGTGGCGCAACAATTGAAACATAACAAGGTTACGTAGTTACAGTAAATATTGTGTACTTTCAAAAAATCATTGTGAATTTCAAAGATTACAGAAAATCTAAATTATATAATCACATTCTTAAAAAAATTACTATTATTTATTAAATGTGGCACACATAATATAATGTGAGCTTGGGTGTACGCCACTGCAAAGACGTTCTTCCATTCGAACGAACAATGAACTCGACCGAAATAAATTGACACTATGGACAGACCACGTGATGGCCCCTTCCGTTTTGCACCACACTCTACATAGCTCAAAAAATAAGGATACTAGATTTAGTCATTTCTAGCGAACTGAGATGAATAATACAAAGCACTCTAAAAAAAATCCCCAAAAGTAACTAGAATGATTTCCACACGACAGGGTAGAGGCACTAAATGTACGCGTACTTCCCATGGATATAGGGAACTGCATGAAGCGTCGTCATCCCAAGCCGTTAGTGTACAAACTTATCTATTCTACAACCGTGGCTATTACCTAGTGCTGGACATTTTATTCCGTTAGTTATGTATTTCAAATATAGTTTACATTGTCCAAACGGCGCAGAGGCTGCGGGGGTGTTATTTATGTCGCGATTATACTTATAGCCTTCGACCAATTTTTTATTGATCAAATTACGAACCTCAATTTCTAAAAAATATGAGAATACCCAGGTCTTTATTTAATTATGATCACATAAGAACAATAATCATATTCAAAATACATATTTTGGTCCATTGTGGCTTAATTAATCATTTTAGTCTTGTGTTTTGAGGAGACAACTCATTCAAATCAAACAAATTTCTACATGACATTCTTTAGATGTATAAACATAAATAAATCGAAATTGATCATGTATACTGATAATAATACACTCTTACCCGTTGGTTATTTGCTTTGAATATATTTCATATTGTTCGTATCTATATCTATCGACGGCACCCCCTTGGAATTTTGCGCCCCCGATGCGCACAGGTTTCGAAGTGTCATTTACACCATTGGGTTTTTACTATATAAAGGTTATTAGAAAACAAAAATTTTGTATGATTTTTCAGAGCGAGGGAAATTCTGTCGAAGTAACCTTGAACCAATCTTTCTAGTTACTAGGCAACTTTGTCTTCTTTATTAACCTTGCACGCTTTAGTTGAAGTTCGATCAACTTTTTGTATTCAGTGTATTTTGTGTTATGTTACGCATGCTAGCTGTATGTGAATGACCTTTCTGCCGTTGACTGATCAGTGATCACGCGCTATCATTACTGCATCTGTTCGCCGATTGCAATATAAAAGACAATATAAATACTTACTTGCACATGCTAATTCTTCCTTCAGTTGAAATTTATTTAGGTTACAACAGACTGCGGCGTTTTTGCACTGTAGCTTCTGACATCTGCATTTGTTTTCTGGACTAGGACAGTCTTCTACACCCCGATGGAAACAGTGTCCAATAACACAATTAGTTCTTAGAGATGAAAGAGTATCGTCATCTAGACGACACCATGACAATTGTATAGTCACGAAACATATTACAATAATTGCCACCCTTGACATCTAAAAAGCATACATGTTAATAACAGAAGCCTAATTCATTATTAAAGTCTATGATCTACATTTTTGAACCTTTAACAATTTAACCTTAATCTTTATGCAGGATGATTTCGAAATATATGCAATAATTTTAACCATGACATCACGTGCCGTAGTAGTGTGGAAATATAGAAAAAACAGTATAAAAATAGAATGGGGCAAAACCCCCATGAACCACCCTCGATACGAAGTCACTGATCCAGCTTTTAAACAATGAATGGCAAAACGTTCCAATAAAAACAATGTAAACACTTTCAGTTTTAACTAAAAATAAAACCGACTTTTTGCTGCTTATCATTCGTTCATTCATGCATTCATTCATTGTTAAAGGTCATCGCGAAAGATTATTCAGTGTAGAAACAAATGGTGGTGTTGTGAGAAGGACCGATTTTTGGTAATGCTCCATGGTGATCGACTTTTGATTCTGACGGCTGTTTGGTTCTTGCCACAACGTTTTTACATTCTTTATTAAAACAAAAATAAGAGCAACTTAGATTGCTATTGCCTTTTTACAAGAAATGGTGAAAACTAACTGTTTCATCCAACCGATACCGCTCCAGATATTTATGCAAAACCGTCGTTGAAATCGTACTTCTTGAGAGGCGTGTGGATTTTCATCGGACCAAATGTTAGTGTTGTGGCTGTTGAAAACAGCACTGCGAGTGAATCCTGCTTCATCCGTAAACATAATGCACTTTAAAAAGTTAGGGCGTTCACGACACTGCTGTAGCAACCATTTGCAATAAATTATACACCATAAAGCATAAAGCATTACCATATCAACACACTCTGAATTAGAAAAATTCACCATAAACCAACTTGACCGACCGGTCGATGATACATACCCTTTTCGTGTTTTTGCACGTATTTTATCAGTCACTTTTTTGGTTCTTAATCCGCGTCGTTCTGTGCCATTCATTGAAAGAAGTAGATCAAGAAATACTACCAGCGGCATGTATAACAATTTATATTTAATTTCAAATATTTTTTTCTAGACATTGCTACCACTTATAGGGACGTGAACTTTACACAGTGCAATAATCTTATTGTGACCTATTCCCCATTTTTTTTATTGCACATATTTCGAAATCAGGCTGTATCTTTAATTTGTTGTTTAAATTGATTACACGGTATAATGACGTAAATACTAGAATATTATTACTAGAGAGCGGATTTTATGAAATTTGCATATCCGTTATTTTTTGCATATAAATCTTGATATTTAATATGTGAACGAATTATGCTAATTAAAAATGAATACAGCTATAAAAAAAATTGCATATTTGGATATATTTGCCTTCTGCTGCATATTTCACGTAACGGGTGCATATTTTGCATTTTTATCAATTTTTGTGCTAATTTGAAAAAAAAATATTGTCATTCTATCGGCATTTATCTAGAAAGACGAAATTTCATGAATCATATTGCAAATATTGTCCTGACTTTCAAATAACGGTGAAAGGTTTGGGTTTTATGATAATTTGGAGGAACTACTGGGTGTTAAGCCATTCTTCCAGGTCAATTCGGGTCCTAATTACTTTTTCATTGCCAATATTTTTGTTCGTTACTTAAGTGTATTAATGGTATGTTTTATGGTGGTCGAAGCGACGTTATCCTGTTATTTTTCATCGTGAGTTTGCATTTAAGCATTTAAAGCGATAGAGGTGTGTCAATATGCAGGTAACTCAAATTAATTTATGGATTAAACCTTTTCCTGAACTTATTCTTCAAGAAGGAACTATGTTCTGTCGCGCCTGCTCTAATCCGGTAAGCATTTTTAGATCTGTAGACGGAGTACGCAGTTTTTCTATTTACAAATACATACTTTAGAATCACCGGAAAAACTTTTTTTTTAAATAAATTGTTACCAAAATTGTAGCTTTTACATACAACATACTGATAATGTGGTATAAATGACAATACTGGATCAAATATGACACCTAAATCTCTTTTAACGTCACACCTATTAGTCATATCAGTACCAAAAGTATAACCAAATACAGTAATGATCACTTATAGCGAACCCAGTTAAAGCGAACTTCCTGATATAACGAACCAACTTGCAAAGTACGAACTGAAGTACCATAAGATACGTGTTATTTTTTTCCGATTATAACGAACCCGCTTATAGCGAACTTTCGGATAAAACGAACCAAATTTTTAATATTTAAGAAAAAAAAATCGTTTATAACGAACTTTTTCACCAGTCTGCTTTATCTCGACAATGGTCAGGAACACTTTTGTGTGAATCTATTAGATCCCGTCAATTTTATCAGTATAGCATGGCAAAAAGTATCAGAACAAACAATTGCTAATTGTTTTCGACATGCCGGGTTTCTCCAGTGTGAGGAAAAATTTGAACCAGGGGTGGGATTTTGTTTCTACCGATACGATACGATACGAAGCGATAAATGACAAGGACGAAAATATAAATTTCAGATGCGAAAGAAAAAGACGACCACATTTTATCGGTACCAATATTTTATCGTTATAGAAACAAAATCCCACCCCAGAAGACGAACTGCTATTGGCTGAATGGCTGAGAAAGCACGAAAGCAATTCTGACGATGGATTTGATATCGACTTCGAAGAATACGTCCATTTTGACGATATTTTAGTGAAGTCTGAAATTTTGGATGATGCTGCTATTGTAGAATTAGTTCAATGCAACATTCAAACAAAAGATGAGAGTGAAGACGATGATGATAACGAAGAAGAAGAAGAAAAAGAGGGAACGATCCCAAAACCCTCTTAAATTAATCTTTCTCACAAGAAGCAACGTAAAATTTGAGATTATTAAGTAACAACTTTTATTTTTAATCAACTTTTTATTAATCAAGTTTTTTTTTCTTATATGTACTACTGTATTATTATCTTTACATGTTTATATTTTTGTAATACTTTTAAATATTGCATCCTGAAATACATAGTTCAATTTATGAAAGTATGTATTGATTTTTTTGAGATCATTTATAACGAACTTCGGATATAACGAACTACTTTTCCCAGTCCCATGAGGTTCGTTATAACCGAACATTACTGTATTATATTCACAGGCTTCCGTAAGAATGTCATGACATCGCACTTCTTCTTATTAATTTGAAGTTTATTACCATTACACCATCCACATAAGGCATTAATGTCAGATTGTAGGACTAGGCAATCCTCATATGATTCGATTATTCTAACAATTTTTAAGTCATCCGCATATAAATAAACTTTTGAATTAAAACACTTGACAATGTCATTAATGAATACTAGAAACATAAGAGGCCCTAAATTTGACCCTTGAGTAACCCGACTAAATGTGTCATATAAATATGATTGAACGCTACGATACTCTACATAATTCTTACGCTCATCTAATAGTGAAATGAATAATTCTATAAGATTATCGCAGATACCAAAAGTGTGCAGCTTATTTACAACAAGTTGATGACTCACTTGATCAAACGCCTTACTGAAATCAGTATATACGACATCAACTTGTTTTCTATCAAGCAGGGCATTTGACACAAGCTGAGTGAAATTCTCAATTTGTGCTTGTGGACCGGCCTCTAACGAAAACATGTTGTTCAAGAATAAGAGAGTTAGCTATATGGCTGTATAATTTGTGTGCTATTATACTTTCGAAAATTTTTGCGAAGTTGGGAATTATAGCTATGGGACGATAGTTTGTAACATCTGGTCTATTCCCAGACTTAAACACTGGGCACACTTTAGAAACTTTCCATAATCGGGAAATGTGCAATTTCTAATAATTCTATTAAATATTACACAAAGAGCGACCTCAAAATAGCTAAGACAGTCTTTTATAAAGAATGAGGGTAGTTGATCACAGCCCATTGTAAAGTTTGGCTTAAGTTTACGACTAGCTTTACGTACATCAATAACAGTAATTTCAAACGTATGCAAGACATTAATATCAGAATTGACAGGGATATCACAGACATTAAATTTATCACAGCTAAGATTAGTACCAATAACGCTATCCAAATTTTGATTTATGTTATCATTACATGAATGAAAAATATCACAGGAATTATCACTTGTTTGACGACTAGAGTTGAAAGGTTTAACAAAGACACTCTTAAAATGATCAGCGAAACCATCAACAATTTCTTGAGCTGTAGTATAGAAGTCATTTTGGAACATTTTCCCTGGTATTCTGCTGGTTTTTCTTTTGTTAGTTATATAACTCCAGAAGTTATTTGGATTCAATTTGATATCAGATTCAGCTGAACAGATAAACTGTTTGTGTTCACGTTGTATGCTTCTCTTTACTGACTTTTGTAAATTTTTTGCTTTGTCGCGATACATTTCAAAATTGGTCTTCTTATACAATTTCCAGTAATATTTTTTACTTTTGATATTTTTTATTATCTCATTAATTAGTAAACCATATCGGATATTTAGAATTTTTCACAGTAGATCTTGGGACATGCATTTCAATAAATGAAAATACCTTATTGTACAATATACCACAAGCATGGTTTACATCTTCAGTGCTATTAATCTCATCCCAAGTTAGCGATTGCATTGCTGTGTACATACCTCAGAAATTTGCTTTACGATAATTATATCTGGATGGCAGATTATCATTTACAAATTTACAGTCGTTATTAATCAAACAGTCTACTTCTATTGACAAACAAGGGGGATAACTATCATCTTTTACTAAAGGTTGATCATGGTGCCTGACGGTAACACTGACACCATTAGATGTGATAAACAAGTCAAGAGTACGGCCTTTACTGTTCAAAATATTATTGTGTTGGTACATATCATTATAAAGTTTAAAAAATTGTGAAGGATAGTGAGCTCTTCTGATTTGCTATTAACATTTCCAGATGTTGTTATGTGTGGAATGTTGAAGTCTCCTCCAATAAGAGTTATATTTTGAAAATGTATTGTTTGTTCCATATAGTCAAAAATAAGTTGATACTTCTCAGGTGTTATTGAAA